ATCATTAGTTTTATCATTGAATCCAATGTTAACTCAAATCTATTGAAAATAAAACATCGCTTGAAATGACTTTTGTATTGAATCTAACGTTTTGTCCATTCATTTGCATTGAAAGGCATTAATGTTTATTTGATTTTATCGCTTGTAATCCTAATTAAATTAAAATTATTAAGAAACCAAGCACAATTATTTGTTTAAAAATTGTAATATTTATTAAATCATAATTTAAATCATGAATTGATATAACAGTAATCATTAATTAAAGTGAATAATAATATTGTTTTTAATTGAAGTCAAACACAGCGTGAAAAACAATATTTTCAACCAATAGTTAACATATTTATAGTAATTAAGTTATGATTAAAACTTAAAATAATACAAAATTAAATTATATTTATCCCAAATGAATGGATTGTATGAAATGAAATGATTTAGTATTGATTTTCTATTAACACTTTGCTTTAATTTTCGTCATTATATTTAAAACTTATTTTTCTTTCAAATGAAAGCATTTTTTGTGTCGATTTAAACGTGATTTATATTTAAAACTTTTGTTACAATTATTGAAATCACAGAATAATTTCTGATTCAAGTGAATGACATTCTTGTGTACAATTAAATGGGATTTTCTAGAAAAACGTTGATTACATTCATTGAAATCGCAAACAAATGGTTTTTCGCCTGAATGTGTCAATTGGTGTTGATTTAGAGCTGATTTTTGACCAAAACTTTTTCCACAATTTTCTTCATCACATTTGAATCGCTTTTCCTTCAAATGAATACAACTTTTGTGTCGAAATAAATGCTGTTTTTGTGTAAACCTTTTGTTACAATTATTAAAATCACAAATAAATCTTTTGTTCAAATGGAAGACATTTTTGTGTTGAATTAAATGTGTTTTTTGTTTAAAAGTTTTAGTGCAATCATTGAAATCACATTTAAATGGTTTTTCTCCCGAATGAATGCGTTTGTGTCGATTTAGATTAGATTTTTGACCAAAACTTTTTCCACAATTTTCTTCATCACATTTGAATCGCTTTTCCTTCAAATGAATACAACTTTTGTGTTGAAATAAATGCCCTTTTGTTGTAAAACTTTTATTACAATTATTAAAATCACAAACAAATAATTTGTTTAAATGGACGGCATTTTTGTGTTCAATTAATTGTGATTTTTGTTTATAACTTTTAGTGCAATCATTGAAATCACATTTAAATTGTCTTATATTTCTATGAATTATTTTGTGGATTTTTAAATCACTTTTTTGTTTTGTCTTATATTCACAATTAGGCCAAAAACACTGAAAAATCTCATTATTAACAGTTTTCTTATTTGAAAGCAATGTTTCACTAATTTTCAATGAATTGCAATCAAAAATAATTTGATTGATACCTAAATTCACATCATTTTCACAATCAATCGCTTCATTCAAAACACTATAATTTGTATTCAAAATACATTGCATTTTGTCTATCGTTTCGCAGAAAACCTTCATTTCATTGAATTTATTCATCATTTGATTGAAATCCAAGTCTTCCATCACTTGAGCCCACGTTTGGCTCGAGTTGTCTTCGGTGGCCATCAACTCGTCGTTACCCAACGTATCCATTGTCTCAACACTTTAGACACCACTTCACTCCTAAACTTGTACTCAATTCAGTAATTGTATATTTAATTAAGATTTAAAACTGAATTGAAATACAATTTTCACAAAAAATGAAAACTTTTGCCACAATTTATAGACAAAAGATTTGAAAGCATTGTTTTGAACAAACGATGTAATATGGGTGGCAAGTAATGCCATCAATGCGGATGGCAATGAATAACGTTTCGTAACAGGGGACAAATTTGCCCCTGTTGCTTTAAATTTAACAATACGCTATGTTATGTACAGACAATTTCAATAATGTTATGATTAAAGCCACTATTTATCGGGATTTCTCGATTAAAGGATAAAGTTCAGTGTTAATGGGTCAAAATGACATAAATTTATATTAAATTTTTTTATTTGTTTTTAATTTGCAAAATTAATTATCATTGTGGGCATAATTGAAATTGATATAAATGATGTTCAGTAATTACGTTAATCAATATGAAATACATGCTTAACTTTTACTAAATTTCTTAATTTTGATATAACTTTTACCCATTACGTCAGATTTGGGAACTTCCTTCAGATTTAGATTCCTCTCATCCATACCATTCCATTGATATATAATATAATATACTTATTCATAAAATACAAGATTTGATATTCAAATTATCCCCGATAAATGTGGTCACTGCGGCCAAACCCGAGGTCTTCTGGTCAAATAAATATGCCACCGTGCTTCCTACAGTGTACTTTCAATTTATAACAATAATTCCCGAGTGCACTCTTGGCATTATTTGAACATTATCTTTTAAAGTATGTTTTGATTTCATTATCACATAATTTCATATATTTTGCCGACTTTTCTCAAATATGTGAAAATATGTGCTAACATCCAAAATATGTAATTATATGTATTTATGTAATAACAAATAGGTCTTAAAATACTCCTTATTATATGATTCGGATAGATCTTTAAGTTAGAGTTTGATATCTTGTACCGCAAATATATGTAAAAATATGTAAAGTTCACTCTTTGGTCATTACTATTGAGATTGTGGTACAAAGGACAAAGTTCAATGTAAATGGGTAAAATGCCAAAAATTTTTATATGAAAATTTTTTATTTGTTTTTAATTTGCGAAATTAATTATCATTGTGAGCATAATTTAAATTGATATAAATGATGTACAAGAATTACGTTAATCAATATAAAAAACGTGCATAACTGTTACTAAATTTCTTAATTTTGATATAACTTTCACCCATTATGTCAGATTTGGGAAATTCCTTCAGATATCGATTCTACTCATTCATACCTTTCCATTGATATATAATATGATATATTTATTCTTAAAATACAAGTTTTGATATTAAAATTTTCCCCGATAAAAGTGGTCACTGCGGCCAAACCGGATGGCGTCTGGCCAAATAAAATATACCACAATATTTCCTACAGAGTGTACTTTCGATTTATAACAATAATTCCCGATTGCACTCTTGGCATTTTTTTGAACATTATTATTTGTATATTTAAAGCAACAGGGGCAAATTTGTCCCCTTTTACGAAACGTTATTCATTGCCATCCGCATTGATGGCATTACTTGCCACCCATATTACATCGTTTGGTTTTGAACACAAAATGTGTTGTAATTTACAGTTCAGTCAATGTATTGATAAAACTTATAAACTCTTATAATTCCGACAAAAAGTTATGATTTTTTAGCACAACTAAATTACTACAAAATTAATATAATAGTTAAAATAAAATACACATTAAATGTAATTCTAGTTATTTATAAAAACCAACAATAGTTTAATTGATTTCACATTTGATTTAATTGTGTTTAAGTGAAACTCAATTCAGACATACATTACGTGTTGTATTGTTTGTGACTTTCAGTCAACGCTTGTGTTAAGCCATCTATGAGTTGCCGCAGACACCGGACGGACCGCTCGGTCGGCACTGAATAACGTTATAATTAATTACAAATTTATCTATTATAAGGATTTAATTAATTGTTGATTTTCAATGAGTTTTATACGAAAGACAAGTAATTGTTTTATTATAAACTTATTTGATATACATTTTTGTTTTCATCACTAAATTTATAACGATTTTTGTGTCACTGATTGTTAATACAGCGTCCGCCAGGGATAAACTACATACCTGGGCGCTGACATTATCATAACATGTGTGAGTTGCTGAGCAACGCAATACAACTTTTGTGGAAAACCGTTGAAAACAACAAAAGTTGTATTGCGTTGCTTAGCAACTCACACATGTTATGATAATGTCAGCGCCCAGGTATGTAGTTTATCCCTGGCGGACGCTGTATAATTAACGTTTTTGGCAATAATTAATGTGTTTATAAGTATTGTGTCAATTGTTTTAATATTTACCAGAGATTTTAATTGAAATTATTTTAAAATGTTATTATATTTACACAATTATTGTCTAATAAAATATAACTACAAATCGTAATCCCGGGTATAATTAGTGGTTTAATATAGCATTTGTTGCCTAAAAATCATTTATTTATAGATATTATCGTTAATTTAAGAATTAAAACATTTTGTATTCATTTTATATTAAATTTAATTTACAGAATCTTGTGTTAAAAATTGTTAACAATTTATTTATTTTATTTTGAGTTTTATTTCAGATACGAATTGTTTTTTTATTATTATTTAGTTTTTTCAATTATTCTACATATTATTTAATTATTTAATTAATAAAACATTAAACACATAATTTTAATGACAATTTGTATTCATTAATTAGTTTTTCCTATAAAACAATGACATTTTCCCGACACATTCCCTGTTCCCGGACAACACCTCCCGAACCCCCGGTTCTCATCCATAATAATAACATAAGTTTTGATACAAAATATAGAGAATTAATATATTATGTGGAAAATAATTGTTGAAAATGTTATTTACATTTTAATTAAAAACAACACAACTTTTATCATTCATTCATTCAATGGATATTTAAATTGTAATTATATTAATAATAATGTTATGACAAAAAACATTGTATTTTTTAAAATTACATATTAATAAATTTTGTTATAATTAGATTATTATATATAAATAACAACTAATATTATTTGGACGCTAATTATACACACATTTTCAATGTATGGAAACAAATGAATGAATGTTTTAGTAAAGATATTTGAGGCAGAATTTGAACATAACTTAAAACATATGATAAAACTTGTGTCCAAATGGTGTAAGAGATATACAATATATTGAGAGCGAGTATTATATGAATTTACTTATCTATTACTTTTAAATTACTTTACAATTATTTAAATTACTTTACAATTAAAGTAATTCCTATTATTATTTTTATATAATAATTCAATACATAAAAAGTTTGTTATCTAACATATTATTTGTCTACAAGAATTTATTAAAATGTTAATAACAATTAAAATAATAATTAAAACCAGAATTTGAGTTTTGATATATCATTCATTGCCAACAAATAATACAATATTTCATACAAACAACTCATAATATATTTATAAATATCAAAAAACACAAAAACAAAACATCGGACTTAGAGTTCAGTCAATAGACACACCTATCAAACACCTGGATCAAACAATCTACAACCATTCGCTTATACAATTAAGCTAAAACATACACAAAATAGTGTCGCTATCAGTGTATATATCCCTCTATCACTACATATCATGGGGTTTTGTGGTGACACAATCTTTGACCACAACCTCTAGAAGTCCTGCATATCTTCGCGGAAGAGATAAGTAGTCCAATAGACGAGATTGAAGAGAGCGAACATCAATGGGAAGAATATTCTGGAGATGACGTCAATCCGTTTGGATCGAGTGGGAAATTTCGATAGCCATCGCTTACACCAATTCTTCTTAGGCAACGACACGTGTATCTCACACGCCCTCAACTTCTCCCCGTGTGGGTCAACACCACCCCCTCCGCCGCCCCCACCGGCGCCCACACCGCCGCCCCCACCGCCAGGGGTGTGGTGTCGGACCAGTGGTCGCTATATTTGTGCGAAAATAAATGGATTTTAGTAATTGTTTTTTATATTTTCGTATTATATTAATTAATTGTAGTTATATTGATGTGAATTGTTTAGGGCTTAAGAATATTGTGTGAATTCTTGGTTGGTTTTTATTTCGTAAGTCAATTATTTGTGATAGTTGTTAATTAATAATTATACTCATGTATATTTGAACATGATGCTTTACACAAGCTTAACCCTGGCACTCCAATAGCTTATACCCTAATGGTATACATTTGAGCTAAACTAGCGTTTCAAATGTAAATGCAATTAAATAGCAATGCATGCGATTAAAAGAGATAATCAATTATTGGTGTTATTTGTAATTGCATTACAACTGCATTAACGCCAGTGTTTTTGATAGGATATCAGAGTATTTAATTANCATTAACGCCAGTGTTTTTGATAGGATATCAGAGTATTTAATTAATTAATCAAATAATTTG